AGCTAAATAAGATGCAATCTGCTCCAAGGTCACACAGGAAGTAGCAAAGGTAGGATCTGAAACCAGGTCCTTTGACCCCATTGCTCTGTTCATTGTATGCTGAAGTCTTCTATAAAAGTAGAGGCTACTTTTTTTTTTTTTAGTGAGGCAAGTGGGGTTAAGTGACTTGCCCAGAGTCACACAGCTAGTGTTATGTGTCTGAGGCCGGATTTGAACTCAGGTACTCCTGACTTCGGGGCCAGTGCTCTATCCACTGCACCACCTAGCTGCTCCTAGAGGCTACTTTTTAAAAGCATCAGCACCACCAGGGGGCCAAATTTCTTATAAAGTAACCACGGGGTATTAATAGAAAAGTGGGGAAACAATTTTCTTTCTCTCTCTCTCCTCCTCCTTTCCTCTTTCCCTTCCTTCCCTTCTCCTTCTGTCTCTCCACTCCCTTCTTTCTCTCTTTTCTTCCTTCTCTTTCCGACTCTCTCCTTCCCTCTTTTCCTTCAGTTTCCCCTCCTTCCCTCTTTGCCTCTCTCTCTCTGCCCTTCTTTCCCTGACTCTCTCTTCCTCTTTTCTACTCTTTCCCTCTTTCCTTTCCTCTTTCCCCTCCTTCCTTCCCCAATGTTTCTCTTCCTTCCCTCTCTTTCCCTTTCTCCATTTTTACTTCCCCCCTTCCCTGTCTCTCCTTTCCTGTTTTCCTTCCTTCCCTCTCTCTTTCCTTCTTTCTCCCTCTCTCAATTTCCCCTTCCCTCTGTCTTTTTCTTCTGTCTCTCTCTCCTCCCCTTTTTCTGTCTCTTTCCTCTCATCTCTGTCTTTCTTTGGCTCTTTCCCTCTCTCCACTTTTCCTTCCTCTCTCTTTCCTCCCATCTCTTTCTTCATTTTCCCTTCCCTCTCTTCCTCCTTCCATCTCTGTCTGTCTCTTTCCCTCTCTGTCTCTGTCTCCCTTCCTTCCCTCTCTCCATTTTTCCTTCCCTCTGTCTCTCTCCTTCCATTTCTCTGTCTCTCTCTCTCAGTCTCTGACACAGGGCTGGCTGCTTTTACTACAGTAATAAGCAATAATAACAGCTGGCATTTATAGAGAGCCCGGCTCTCTCAGGCTAGCAAAGTGCTTTGCCTACGGGCACCATTCCCTCTGGGCCTCAGGGCAGCCCTGAGAGGGAGAACCTTCTTCCGGGATTTGCTCTTCCATTTTTCCAAGCAACGCCTAAGCCACAGTTCTTTTGTTGAAAATCACGGGTCTGTTTGTTTTTTCAGTCACCAACAGTTTTCTGCCTCCTCCCCCGCTCTCCACACAATCCCTCGGGGCTCTCTCTGGGGCCTTTCCTAGAGTCAGCACGTTCTTAGACTCCTCTGTGCAAACTGAGCGGGGAAGACGGGTCCTCCACGGGTCACTGACTTGCCCAAATTCTACACTGGAGGTGCACATCAAAGCCACAGCAAACGCCAGATCTTTCCCCCTTCTCTCCTGCGTCCCTACCCTTTCTCTCTTCTCCCCCCTCCACTTTCCCCTCCTGTGCAGAATCGCAAAGGCATTGGACAGTCCTTCCCCTCCCCTCCCCTCCCCCCTCTTAGCTAATTAAAAATAACTGGGACAGAGCAACCCGCCATATGAGCAGAGCCAGATTTGTCACGGCACCCTTGGTGTCACATGTACCACAGCAAGAAAGGCTGTGAGCTCGAGGGAGAGAAGGTCAGGGAGGATTAAAAAATTTCAGCAAATGTCTTCACTGATCTACCAGAATGAGGGGGCAGAGAGGGGGCCCGAGGGGCAGAGCTACTCAACCCACAGCCTGGTCACCGCTGGCTGGGCTTCGGGCTTCGTCCTTCTGGGGAAGCGTTTGGGCGGAAAGACCACAGTGCTCAGCCTTAATGGAGTCAGGATCCCACGTGCAGGTGTTTGGGTAAAATGACAAGGAAAACGCGTAGGCGGATAGGCAGAAACACTTCATAAATGGGGAAATGGGCCATTTCTCGGTTTGCGGGGGTAGCGTTAGTCAGGGGACTTTTGTATTCGAAACACCTGGCGTGTAGTAGGTGCTTAATAAATGCGTGCCGATTGACTAGATTATCTACTATTACTGTCATAGTTAAAACTGCACTAAAACTTTGAGAACAATCTGTATAATTAGATTATTTATTTATTTATTGCAAAGCAGATGGCTGAGTTCATTTGACAGGGAACTCCTGGTGAGGAAACTCTGCTACCAGCACAGACTGACACCCATTCTACACTTCATAGTCCAGAATGCTGCCGGGAACTGAGAGGTTAAGGGACCTTACACAGGTTACACAGCCATCTCCATCTATCTTTCTTCCTCCATCCATCCATCCATCCACATCATTCTGTCTATCCCTATCTCTCTCTACAACCATCTGTGTTTATCACTGTCTACCTACCTACATCTGTGTCTGTCTATCCATATCTATCATCTAGCCATATCTATCTGCATCTATCTGTGTCTATCTCTATCTACTTACCTACATCTCTGTCTACTCATATCTAGCTATCATTTAGCCATATCTATTTATGTCTGTGTCTATCCTTAGCTATCTATTATCTATTCATATCTATCTATGGTATCCCGAATGACAGTGCAGTTTTAAGTTTATTATAATTTATTAAAGCTTAAAAGGGCACTAAGACTTTTGGGATACCCAGTATATTAACTCCCATTTCTGCAGCACTTCATAAGATCAGAGGATGTAAACTCATAATCTAAATCCAACACCCTCATTTTACATATGAGGAAACTGAGAACATGAGATTAAGTGATTTGTTCCAGTTTAGGAAGATGGTAATCATCAGAGGCAGAATTTGAACCCAGGTCCTCTAATTCTAGAGACTGCATCTGTCCACTGTGCCATGCTCTTCTGTGATTTGATGCATATGGGCTTCTGTCTCAACCTCTCTGTGCTTTAGCAGAAGGGCTTGAAGAGTCGATATGGTTGAAAAATCCATCCCCCTAAAGCCAATCTGGTACAGGATCTTTCTGAACTTGGGGAGGCCAGTCCTTAGATAACAAATACAGCCTGTCCACTGGCCTGTCCAGGAAACTTCTCCTTCCAGCTAGAACATGTCAGAGCCCGTGCTTCATCAACACAGTTATTGAGAGCCCTGGTATAAGCTTTTAGTGGGGGGCAGATTTCCTCAACTATAAGTGGGTAAAGAAACAAAAAACAAAACCCAAACCCCAGAAAGAGGAAAGGAGGAAAAATGGGAAATGCTTTTAGACTCACATGGGTGGGCAAAGAGAAAGCCTATAACAATAACTAGAAGCACAGGGAATTTCAGATCTAAAAGGGCCCTCCCCAGGTTGTTCTATTTACCCCTCACCTTAAACCCAAATGACGGAAAGAATGATCTCCCACAAATGGGAATATGGTGCAACTCTGGTATTGTTTCCAACATGGCAACTTCTTCATTCCATATCTAGATGGCCCTGTGGAGAGAGGCCTGCCTGGTTAGGGAGTCAGGGAGACCCATGTTCAAATCCTGCCTTCAACGCTTACTGGCAGTCAGGTCACTTAACATGTCTGCCTCAGTTCCTTCATCTGTAAAATGGAGATAATAAGAGCACTTACACCTTACAGGGCTGTTGTGAGAGTAAAATGAGATGATATTTGTACAAAGTACCATCTAAACATAAAGCTCCATATAAATGCTAGGTCGTCTTCTTTTTCTTGTCCTTAGCTCTAATCTGTCATTGAATACAGTCAGTCAACAAGGAGCTCACTATGTTCTTGACATGCTATCAGATATTCCTTTGAAGTGGGAAATGTAGCATAGCAAAAGAAATCATAGAATCTGAGAGCTGGAAGAGGCAAAGGTCATCTAGTTCAACTTGTACCCATTCAGGAACTCCCTCTATAACAAACCCCCAAAGTGGTCACCCTGGGTCCCCAGGGAGACTTCCAGCAAAGGGGAACTCACTGCCTGCCAAAGTGGCCCCTGTTCCCTTTTGCATAGCTTTAATTGTTAAAAAATTCCCCCGTATAGTGTATCTAAATGTGACATGTGGCAGCTTTCCTGCAGAGAAGCACACCAAAGACTAGCAGATTTGCAGTTTGAAACCCTGAGTTCAAATCCCACTTCTGACATTTATTATTAAACTTATGATCATGGGCAAGTCAGTAAACCTCTTTCTGGGCTCTAGTTCCTGCAGATGCAAAACAGGTGTAACAATACCTATGCTACCCACAAGAAACAGCTGCTAATTGGAAAGCACTTTGTAAAGCCTCAAAACCTAGGCCCTCTGACTCTGAACGTAGAATTCTTTCCATTTTGCCACCCATCTCAAATTCCATTTCCTTTAGGAAGTCTTCTGTGATCCCCAACAGTCATGCATCTCCTAAAGTGTAGGCCTGATCATGTCACTCCCTTACTCAACTGCTGTTGTTATTTCAGTTGTGTCCGGCTCTTGTGACCCCATTTGGGGTTTTCTTGGCAGATACTGGAGTGGTCTTGATATTTCCTTTTCCAGCTCATTTCAGAGATGAGGAAACTTAGGCAAACAAGGTTAAGGGACTTGACCAGAGTCAAACAGCTAATTAAATGTCTGAGGCTGGATCTGAATTCACAAAGATGAGTCTTCCTGACTCCAGGTCCAACACTCTAACCAATGCACCACCCAGTCAATATATATCTTCACTGATAATTGAAAAGATTTTAATCTAGGGCTACCTGAAAACTTTATTGGTAACCAGAGGTGGGCTCTTGAACTGGTTACTTACTCCTCCTCCCCTCACTGATCTTCATTTCCTCTGTTCTACTCTGTAAAATCAATACTTCTCCACATTTGAGATTTCATGGAAATTTATTAATTCATAGAAGATACAGTCATTAAAAAACAAAACAAAACAAAAACCTCTTGGGGGAGGGAGTGGGTGCACATTGAGCCACAAATTCATGTTTTGTAGAACTGACCCAAATTTTCAAAGAATCACAGAATGTCAAGCGGTGGAAGGGACCCATTTGGTCCTGTATTAGAACATGAATCCCATCTTCAATGTACCTGACAAGCAGCAGGGGCACATCTGTGTGGTTTGAAGACCTTCAATGAGGAAAGCACCAATTAACTTCTCACCCAACATGGGGTTGCTGTGTTTAGAGACACTTCAAGATGATCACTTGTCAAAAGCACGTCAGACACACCCTGCTTTTGACGGTTTTTGTATATCGAGGCAATGTGTATGTTGTCTTGAGGCAGGTAAGTGCTACAGTGGACAGAGTGCTGGACCTAGAATCAGGAAGACCAGAGTTCAAATCCAACTTTAGACATTTACTAGTTGTGTGACTCTGGGAGTCTTTTAATCTTTTTTTTTTTTAATCTGTAAAATGGGGATAATAATTAGTGCCTGCCTCCCAGGGTTGTTTTGAGGGGGAAAAAATGAGATAATATTTACAAAGCACTTTGATGATGACGATGATGATGATGGTCAGGTTGAGGTGGAAACTAACTAGGAATCATAGGATTTATAGTTAGAAGGGATTTTGGATGTCAACCAGGTCAATCTTCTCATTTTACAGATGAGAAAACTGAGGTCCAGAAAGATTGCAGACGGTCACACAGCTAGTAAGTAGCAGAGTAAGGATTTAAATTCAGGCAGTCATCTTTCTCCTTGACTTTTCTTCTCTCTGCTGCTAGGAGTTTCGGCAAAAGTTTAAAATGGCCACTGGGCTCTATTTAACGCTATTAAGTTGAGTTTAAGGAGGGTAGGCTTTATTACTGCTGGATTATTAGGAGCAGAGGTAGTGACTAAAAATTAGACCCACAAATCCACAGTCCCCAGACCTCTCAGCACCAGAAGCAATTTGGAGATGCAAAAATCTGACCTGTTTCTGCCCCTTGCTCACCACCCCAGGCCATTCATTACTCTGGCCTGTGGTAGCAATCAGAGGCAGAAAGAGAGGTCGGGGAATGAAACAGCAAAGCCTTGAGAGCAGACTGCAGTGATTACTTGGATCTTGCCTCATCCCCCACTCCTCTGCTTCTAGTCACTGTCCTGCAAGAGCCGCACGGGCTGCCTGAGAAGGAGTGAGCTCTTCTACACTGGAGGTCTTTCAAACAATGAACAATTGTCAGGGAGATTGCATAAGGGATGCATAAGGGAGGAATGGGCTGGATGGTTTCTGAGACCCCTTCTAACTCTGAAGTCCTGCAATGAACACACCCCTTGTGGTTGGGGCTGAGTTGTGTCCCACTTCATGTGATCCCATGGACTTTTTTTGTCCATGGGGTGTTCTTGGCAAAGATAATGGAGTAGTTTGACATTTCCTTCTCCGGTGTGTTCCCATTTTACAGATGAGGAACTGAGGTAAATAGGAGTTAAATGACTTGCTCAAGGTCACACAGCTACTAAGTATCAGAGGCCTCATTTGAACTCAGAGTTTCTGGGGTTTTTTTTTTGGCTAGGCAATGGGGTTAAGTGACTTGCCCAGAGTCACACAGCTAGTAAGTGTTATGTGTCTGAGGCCGAATTTGAACTCAGGTCCTCCTGAATCCAGGGCCGGTGCTCTATCCACTGCGCCACCTAGCTGCCCTGAACTCAGAGTTTCTGACTCTGAGCCTGGTGCTCCATCCACTATGGCACCTAGCTGCCCCAAATCTCCCTTGCCTGGTTTTTATTCCTCCTCTTTTCTTCTCATGCTTGATTTCTTTACCCCTTTTCTCCAGTTTATATCTGAAACATGTCCATGAATGGTGATGGCGCCTCTCTGATGGCACTTTGGGACACTCAGGTTGCTGAGCTCCAACAGCCCAATCTGACAAGGCAGGTGGGGGATGTAGGGTGGGATGCTAGAGAGTCGTGCCTTGGGCCAGTCTCCCTCTCTGATATCTGAGAAACTGGAAACACTGACTTCATGGTAGATAGCCCTGGCACATCTACCCTGAACATGAGCAACAGTCACAGACGTGAGCTCAACGACATAAATGTACTTTTATGATAACTCACATTCATAAATCACTTTCTGCCATACAAGAATAACTACCATTTATATAGAGCTTTTTTTGGCTTACAAAGTAAGCCAACAACAATCCTATGGGGTAGGGAGTGTATTATTTTCCCCATTTCTTAGATGAGGTAGCAGAGGCATGAAAACATTAAGTGACTTGCCCAGAGTTACATTACTAGTAAATGCTCAAGTTTTCTGACTCTGAGACAAGTATTCTTTATACCAAACTACCTTGAGGCACTTCTCTTCCAACACACCTGAGAAAGACAGAGAGAGAGAGAGAGGGACAGACAGAGAGACACACAGACAGAGGAAGACAGAGAAAGATACAGAGAGAAATGGACAGACAGGTACACAGAGGAAGACAGAGAAAGATACAGAGACAGAGTGAGAGAGAGACAGACAGACCAACAGACAGAGGAAGACAGAAAAAGACAGGGAGACAGAGAGAAAGAGACAAAGACATAGGTATTTTTTATACCCATTTCACAGAAGAGGAAAGCTGAGGTTCAGGCCAGATTTTTGCATATGCAAATTGCCCAAGATCCCACAAGTGGTGAGAATAAGGGCTAGGAAAAATGTCCAAATACATGAACACAAAATGATCATGCAGCAAACGGTAAATTATGTTTAATTATTTTCCCTCCTGCCTTTTTAAAAAAAGTTCAAACACATTTTTAAACAAAGGCCTTTTTCTTTCTGTGTTCAATTTTGGAATACTTTTCCATATATTTTTCTGGGTTTTGTGGCTGTCATCCTTATTGTAGATGGTGTATATGTTGTTATTGTTATGATCTGGCTTCATTCCTTCTTCATTTGCATACTATATCTATCTATCTATCTATCTATCTATCTATCTATCTATCTATCTATCTATCTATCTATCGTGCCATTATAGGTACATATTGTTTTAGACAGTAAAATGAAAGGTCCTTGAGGGCAGGGGCTGTGGAGTTTTTGTCTCCATATCTGCAGCTTAGGGGAATGCTTGGTACACAGTAGGCACTTAATAAATGCTTGGTGAATGAATGAATGAATGTAAGACTTGTTCTGTGGTCAGCTAGATCACAAACCAAAACATAGAGCCTGTAGTTCCCTCTTTCATTAGACTGAAAATCAGAGAGGGATCCATGCATTTGTATCTGTATATCACTTTCATAGGAGACATCATGGTATTGTGGACAGAAAGATGGACTGGGTAACAAGAAAATGGATTCAAATTCTGCCTTAGACCCTAGCTGTGAGGCCCTGGACAAATCATTTCTACCTCTCTGAGTCTGAGTTCCCTTATCTGTAAAATGGGAAAAATACTGGCTGTTTTACCTGGAACAAGTCACTTAACTTCTCAGTGACACAGTAACTTGAGGGGCGACTACACCTTGGTCAGGGGAATTTCCTCATTTACAGCTCCCTATGTGGATGGGGATACGCCAGCTTAAAACGCTGAGTACATAAATGTGAGCTGGCATTAGGACTTTCAGCCCACTGGGCAGAAACAGAAGTGAACTGTGAAGGGATGGAAGAGAGCAAGCATTTTCTTTGCTGAAAGGAACTCATGGAAGAAATTAAGAAGAGAAAGATGAAATGAGGAGGCCAAATTGGAGCCCAGGCCTCCGGGGAGGTCATTTACTGAGAGGTGACAGAAAGCCTCCAAACCACATGATTCCATCTGGCAAACAGGCCGGGAGCCTGCACTGCAGTCATCCATCTGAAACATCCTCTCTGCTCCGGGCCTCACTCCTCAGGGCGGAACAGGGAATCGCAGAGCCTGGAGTGGAAGGCAGAGAAGACCCCGTCCAGTCCCAACATCTGCTCATTGTGTAACTGGTTATATTTAGGGGTAGAACACGATTTAGATTTTTCTTCCAGTTTCATAACATTTAAAAAAAAACTGGCTCATCCTATTTCTTTTAAAGAAAATTCTTTCCTTTTTTCTTGCATGAACTCACAGGTGATGTTGCAGTTCTTTCCATGGCAACAAGCTAAGAAACTGAATGTGCTTTTCCGCAAGGCTCGAGCCTTGGAAGAACATGGTGTTGGGGGAAGGGAAAGGAAAGAGTGAAGAAAATGAGTTTTCTAAAACCCAATCTGTCCTTACTCTCCCTCCCGACCTAATGCACAGGGGGCTTGGCTGTCATCATAAGATGACATCACTCATTTGTAAGAACCCATCCCCCAGATGGAAGGAATTACGTTCCAGAGCTTCACAAGAATACACAAAACTGTAGGTTGCTGGGTGGCCCAGGGGATTGAGTATTGGACCTACAGTCAGGAAGACCTGAGTTCAAATCTGGTCTCTGACACTTACTAGCTGTGTGACCCTAGGCAAGTCCCTTCACTTCTTTGCCTCAGTTTCCTCATCTATAAAATGTACTCCCAGAGTGGTTGTAAGGATCAAATGAGATCATATTTATAAAGTACTTTGCAAACCTTAAAAGGCTATATAAATGCTAGCTATTATTATTGGTATCAAATACTTCAAACTACTGTTTATTTTCTCTATAGAGTTCCCCCCTTTATCGATGCTCTTTCAGTTCCTGATTCCATTAGAGCAGGGCTTCTTAAACTTTTTCCACTCCCCTTTTTGAGTTTCCACAGCATTCATTGGCATTGTGAGGCCTGATGGCAGTGCAGTACAAAGTGCACATGCTTTGTGTTCAGAACCAAGGCTGTAGTAAAGTTGTGCGGTGCAACACAGGCAAGTGCTGCCAGAAACACCTTGGATTCATTATACATTTGATTTTTAATTAATTTTGGGTCCTTGTGCATTCAGAAACCTTTTATCATTGCCAAATTTTTTGTGACCCCATATGGGGTCACGACCCACAGTTTAAGAAGTGCTGCTTTGGAGGAAAGACTAAGTTAAGTATTAATGTTCTTTAACACCGCATTCATTCATTTACAAAGCATTCATTCATTCGCTCTCTGAAGTTACCAATAATCTCTTATTTGACAAAATAGATGGTCTTTTTTCAGTCCTGATTGAGATGCTATATGCTCACAAATCTATACATCCAGCCCAAGGGTGGGGAACTTTCTGCCTCGAAGCCACATGTGGCCTCAGGTTCCCCACCCCTGTTCTAACCTCTTAAATGTCAGAGACACACTGTTGACGAATAGCCTCTTCCTACATACGCTCTCCTCAAACTGATCTTCCTAAAGCACAAATCTGATCATATCATATCATACCCCCTATTCAACCATTTGCTGTGGCTCCCTATTACCTCTAGGACCAAATATAAAAATCCCGTTTTGCTTTCAAAGCTAATGTGGTCCCTTCCT